CAAGCTACACAGTCTGGTAAACGCTGCATGCTGCACGCCACACTCGCTCCCTGTATCTCTGCCAGAAACCAATATATGAATTTAAAAAGAAGTATAAGAAATATGGCCCAGGACTAAGGCTTGTGGGTACATTTCAAGTAGGAGCTCTCTCTAACATTTAACGTATTAACTGCTCTCACAGCCGTAAGAAGCTGGTATAGGAGGAGGTCCATGTACATGTATAACATATATCGACACCATGGAGAAAGGGAAGGAAACAGAGTGCGTCAGACTGACCAAAGCCCATCTCCATTATGGAGGAAATGGTAAAACTTGGACCAATGCACTGTATGTCTATTAACTTAATAAGTCTAAAAGTGACTTTGCAGTGGTTCCTGAAAAGGAAGACGGGCATCTGAGAAGGTGTAGATGCTGAGGCACTGATGCAGGATCCATACTTCATGGAACAAGAGGACATCAGTATGTCATGACTGTCTCCACAAAATGGTCAAAAGGAGGAGACTGAAGGAAGTTTAGAATTAGTGCTTCCCAAAAAACCAAACTGTTAAGAGGTGAAAAAAGAAAGCAGTCACCTTCTTGCACTTCCTTTATGTAAGTAAGTAGAGTAGAGAAGAGCTGGGAGAAAGACAGACAGCCTTTTAGGACCTTTAATTGCATAATGAGAATAGATAATCTTTTAATTAAAGCCATAGGTGAATCAATTAGCAATAACTAATTTCAGCTGGTTAGACCGGGAGCTGCACTGCCATAGACAAGTTTATCTCCGAGGGCATCACTGAAATGCAATTGCTTACATCAGCCAGGGTTGGAAACAACTCCCAGATGGGGAATAGCTCAGATGTGGTTCTCATACTTCTCCTTATGTGTCCTGCACTGTCCAGGGCAGAGCCAGCAGACCAGGTGAGAGGACTTTTGAGCTGAGCCGCTTTTGATGTCCTTACATGCAGAAGGCTTAATATTTAAAAACCCTGTCATTGATTAGATAACTTTGGCCCAGAACCTTCTGTTATTCTTAATAAAAGTCAATAGAAGCATGGAAAAGTACAAAATGTCAACCTATGACCTTATGAAATGTGTGACAGTGGAGAGAAAAGAAAGAAAACCCACCCTTTGGTACATTCTTCATCCCTCATGCTGTGTTGAGATCCAGAAGTAGAAATCTTTTCTCAATACTAGGGCTTAGAAAGTCAAGAATTTTGTCTCTCTTTATTTTCATTACAGTTAGTTAAATCCTTAGGCTCCTGTTAACACTGAACTCTATGTTGATTTTTTGTTTAAATGCTGAAAACTAATTTTCGTTTAACAATTTTCTGTTTGAGGCCAACATCAAATTAGTGTGCTTTCCACTGGCAGACCCCAGTAATTTGGTAGGCAGGAGGCTCACACATACTTAAGTTATTCAATACATTTTGTTATACTCTGTACAAAAACCTAGTCAGAAAAGCTTGATTTATGATATTCCTCAGGTTTCCTGTTACTCTAAACCACTAACATCCTATGGCCAAGCCCTTCATAGGCAGCCAACACATCTGGCCCAGAATGGTTCTGTCACCTATCGCCAGAATGCCATATTTATAATCAAGACATAATAGAAAAGAAAGAAATTATTATGATGAAAAATAAAAAAAAAATTAAATACAAAAAGTCAAAGTTATCAGTGGATATTTGCAAGTATGATTGGGCGTATTTTTTCAAAACATATGCCCCAGACAAATAGAGCATGTAGCATACTGAGCAGGCCGATTAGATATGTATAATTATCTCTTCTAGCCTAATTATATACTACTGAAAGCTCTGATTTTTCCATTTCACACCTTTTTAAAGTCTATTTTGGCATTCATATATACAGGCAAACCACTCCTGGCTGAAGCCAAAACTACACAGTCCATCTGAAATCCCACCTTCAATTATACAACTGCTTGTAAGTGAGTCTGTTCCTTTCAAAGTGTTTTTTAGCTGGTCTCCTTAGGGATTTAAGGCTTGTGCAATCATTTTGTGCGTTGTATCTGTGTATCCATCTGTCAAATTTGATCAACGAGCTGAAGTATCCTAAAATACTAACTTCCTACATGTTTCATAACGATAGAGGCAGGCATTTGGATTAAAGTCCTCTTTAAAGCTAAAGCTCAGTGCATGTCAATGTCTTGTCCACAGGGCAAAAAAATTAAGCTCACAGCACAAATTTTTAATTTTTCTCATAAAAATTCATGCTCAAAAAACAGCTCCATAAACAAAAGTGTAGACAGACCTGTAAGTTTCTGACTGGTAGAGGCTGTGAATTTTGGGGCTGGCAGTAGGTGTAGGCTGGAATGAGGATGGATTTAAGATGTGTGTACTGCTAAAGGGCACAGGCAAAGTTGGACAGACTTTCTTCTCTGGAAGATGCATTTTACAGAGACTCATTTTTACCAAGGGAATCATAAAAGAAACACATAGATGATAACGAACAGATTCTCGACCATGTTAAACCCTGGAGCACAGCTATGGAAACGTGAAGAGCTGTAGAGGTTCAACGTCTTTGAAAATCTGATCACTGAGCATTTCTAATCAGCTTCCTCTGCCAAAGGAATATGAAATTTTCCAAATCTGTGCCAAACTCTGAAGTTCACAAACTGTTTCTCAAGTGGATTTGTCTGATGTAACCAATAACCATGAAACCCTCCTCCACTTTCGAAATTACATCTGGTGGAGACAAATCTCTATGTAGATAATACAATGAAAATGTGAAAGACTGTACTTGTTCTAAACCTTATTTTGCAAATGTGTTATAACATAAAAAGGCATAATCTAAAGCAACTGCATGTTCACACATGAGAGTCCCAACAGCTTTGCCATTTTATTCTTAATTATCCCTGGTGGATAAACTAGTTGAAAGACTGAGCCAACTCATCCATCCCCAAAAGCAATTGAGCAATGCTGATTTATATCAGTTGCAATCCTGACTACATCTTATGAAATAGTTATCAATTAATTTCCTGCATAATCTGTCTCTGTTTCTCCAGAACCACACTAGAAGAGCAGCCTGACCTTTTTTGACCTCCAATTCAGCAAGCGATCTTCAGGCAGAAGATTATTTAAGCACATGTTTAACTGCAAATGATTGAACATACCTTTAAGCCTCAGGTATGTGTCTGAGTGTTGTCAAAAAGTGACCTTGAAGGAAGCATCCACCTGTTTTGTATGTTTACTCAAGAAGATAATCACTGTACAACCAACAAAGGATTTACCAGCTCTTAATGGTAATAATGCCTCTTGTTGCTTCTTTTGGCAATAGTTTCGCAAGACTCTCAGAAGAATTAGATCACAGTCAGTCCCACCTGAGCTACATATTTCCTAGCTGAATAAGCAGGATGAAATTGGACCGATGGTCATGTCTGCTGGAAGAATAGAGTGCTTTTCAGTGCAGTAAGACTGGTTCCAAGGGCACAGGGTGTTCAACCAGCCTCTTGCATCCCAGCTTTCACCCTCTGCCAAAATTACATCTCAGCAAGTGTTTTCAGTTCTGTCCTCACCATCGCTACCAATAATATGCAAACCAGAAAGACAAATTCATTCACATTTTAAATAGCAATCTCAGCAATATTAATTGCACAATAAAAAAGAATTTGTTCCAAGTACTCAGCCAACTATTTATTTACGTTCAATTCTGAATTCATAAATTCTTGATTTGACATTTAAAAGCTATTTAAACAAACAGTAATCTTTTATTAGCAAAATGCCTAATCAGATGGGTTTTCTGAGCTATTTAAGCAGCTCTGAGAAATGCAAAGTCTCTTATGAATATTTTACTTCACTAAACATAACTTTTCCCAATGTAAGTCAAACCTGCATTGCTCCTCTATTATGTGAAGTTGATCAAAACCTTGCCTTCTCCTTTCAGTGCTGTTTTTAAAGAGAAAACAAAAACAGAGAGTAATCAAAATTAATTTTGAAGACAGCTGGGCTCATGAACAAGATTCTGAGCCTTCATTCATACCACTTATCCCTCCCTGCACACCAACCTCTAAACCATATGGAATAGTTCTTGAAATGGCATGTTGGATAAGACGGAGGAGAATCAGAGAGTCATAGAACACCAGGTTGGAAGAGACCTCAAGGGTCATCTGGTCCAACCTTTCCTGGCAAAAGCACAGTGTAGACAAGATGTCCCAGCACCCTGTCCAGCTGAATCTTAAAAGTATCCGGTGCTGGGGAGCCCATTGCTTCCCTGGGGTGATTATTTCAGTGGCTGATAGTTCTCACAGTGAAAAATTGCCCTCTAGTGCCCAGCTGGAATGTCCCCAGATTACATTAGGTTGTGCTTTCACAAGCAGTAGTATTTATGTTGTATTTTGGTAGTTCATTTACAAATATATATTTGAGTTAAGCTGCCTTTCTGTTAGCTTCTACTCTCCCAGTTCTCCACTTGTGAAGTAGGGTCATTTCATCTCTCTCATCAGGCAAATACCTGTGTAGAAGCAATAAGGTAAACAGATATTGTTGTAATGGGAATCCAAAGAGTTATTCATTAGTATGACAGGTTTTTATTGAGCTCAGAACGACAAAGAGTAGGTGGAATGACCTATTGCAGAACCCATATTACTGACATTTTTATCATGTGGTGGTCTTGGCAGTCCTGGGGTAATGGTTAGACTTGCTGATTTTAAAGGTCTTTTCCAACCTACCTGATTCTATGATTCTATGATCGTGGGTTGCATGACCCCATAAATAGCTGGAGAAATAAGTAAACAAGAAGAAAAATTAAGTGCTGCAGTCTTGGGTACCTTTTGCTCTAGTTCCCAAGCACACATTTGTACCAGTGTGGTTTTATGTGTGAATAAAGTTTTTAAAAGAATAATGGTGCCATTCATGGAGGAAAGTGGTCAGGAGATAATTTCATATTTTCTGTATGTACCAAAACCAGACACATGTATTGCTGATAAAAGTAGAATAAACATTCAAGTACAAATATGCGTGTTGCACGTTCATATTAAAAAGTTGCCCTTGGTGTTTCTTGGTAGAAGATTCATTCTTCATGGAGGAAAGCACAGCCAATGAGGCCACATTCTCCTGTCTTTAGACTTACTAAAGTAAAAGAAAAAAATAGGAGAGAAAAACAACCCTACAGACAGACATGAAGAACAGAAGCATGTCAGTGACCGCCTGAAGATACCACAGTAAGAAGAACTTGACCTAAGGTTCTAAAGAGGGTCTTATCAGCTTGGGAGGACTGATACAGCAGGATTGATGGTGCTGAAGTGCTTCTTGGTAATGACCTTTCTGCAGCCCTTGACTTTTCTTTCACACAGTCTTTGGTAGCCTAACAACAATGGGAACTATTGTTTAGATAACTGTGATTTTGCTTCTTCCTTTTATCAAAAGATTTTAAAAACTGAAAACAGAGTTAATGGCAGATCTTGGAGTGTCCATAAATAACACAGATACAGACCAGGTACAAGAAAGCAGTGATTCTGGAAGATTTATACAATTGAATTGCTTCTTTATGCTGTTGATTTCCTGATGCTGCACCTATGAATCTGTCCCTTAGTGTTTATGATATATTTTCAGAAAATAAGATTGTACACCAATGTTAATTGTAATTATTTTAATTATCCCTTTTGAGGATTCTCTTGCTTTGTCTTCACATGGCATATGCATGTAAAAGTGTGAAATTGAGACACATACAAGGAATTTTGGAAAATGTTGTATGTAATGTAAGATTTTTGACTAGGATCTGTGCATCAACCATGGCAGGGCCATCATGTAGTGGAGCAATTATCAGCATCAGCTTCATCTTAAAATTCTTAATTTTCTCTGCTTTTCTTACTTTACTATACATATTCTTTCCTTTTTTATTTTTTATGATAATAATAAAAAAAAAAACAGGAAAAAAATCTTCATTGGAAATATCTGATATATTCTCCGCTGGAAAAACAATATCCTGCAATAGATGGGTGGCCATGTAAACACACCTCTGCCTAGCACAAAAAAAACCAGCCTGGATTCATGGGTATGAATTCAGATGGCATAGTGGGGAGGCAGGAGGACTTTTGCAGGGGATTAAGACACCAGGTTTGAATCTCTAGGGATGCTGGCTCCAGTTCAGGCTCTAGTTGGGAGGCCAAATAAGTATGGTGGTCTCATTAGTCCTCATTACAAAAACTGACCACATGATTTGGTACCATCAGCAGCTCTTTGCTAGATAAATCCTGGACTAGAGAAACAAGGTTTACTGCAAGCTAGACCTGAGGTATGTTGACAGGGAGAAGTTTGCAGAAAGCCTGGCTGTACCAAGGCCAGTGTTAACAGTCTTTTTACTTTCATTTGCTCTGAATTCATTCATATATATGCAATCTAAATGGTTTAAAAGTCAAGAAAGAAAAAGAAAGAAAGAAAGAAAAAGAAAGAAAGAAAGAAAGAAAGAAAGAAAGAAAGAAAGAAAGAAAGAAAGAAAGAAAGAAAGAAAGAAAGAAAGAAAGAAAGAAAGAAAGAAAGAAAGAAAGAAAGAAAGAAAGAAAGAAAGAAAGAAAGAAAGAAAGAAAGAAAGAAAGAAAGAAAGAAAGAAGAAAGAAAGAAAATAAAGAAAGAAAGAAAGAAAGAAAGAAAGAAAGAAAGAAAGAAAGAAAGAAAGAAAGAAAGAAAGAAAGAAAGAAAGAAAGAAAGAAAGAAAGAAAGAAAGAAAGAAAGAAAGAAAGAAAGAAAGAAAGAAAGAAAGAAAGAAAGAAAGAAAGAAAGAAAGAAAGAAAGAGAAAGAAAGAAAGAAAGAAAGAAAGAAAGAAAGAAAGAAAGAAAGAAAGAAAGAAAGAAAGAAAGAAAGAAAGAAAGAAAGAAAGAAAGAAAGAAAGAAAGAAAGAAAGAAAGAAAGAAAGAAAGAAAGAAAGAAAGAAAGAAAGAAGAAAGAAAGAAAGAAAGAAAGAAAGAAAGAAAGAAAGAAAGAAAGAAAGAAAGAAAGAAAGAAAGAAAGAAAGAAAGAAAGAAAGAAAGAAAGAAAGAAAGAAAGAAAGAAAGAAAGAAAGAGAGTAAAGTGGGATAGACAGACAGCTTTTGAATTATAAAACATGTTTCAGGCCCCATACCTGCAAGTTTTATTGCTGTTCAACTAAATCCCTCAAGTCTATCTCTAAATTATCTGAATTAGAAAAGATGTAAAATTAATCAGAATACTGCCATCATTGTCTGAAATACAGGAACTTTATCTTCTGGTAGAATCATTGTATATGTTATCAATTATAAATAAACTTTTATGAAGAACTAGTAAATCAAGTAAGTAGTTTGCATTTCTTGAAAGAACGTATAATCACATTTTTTTTTCCAGTTAAGCAATTTCAACATTTTAATTTCAGCAAACTATGTTTATAAAAATTCCCTGTATTTCGTAACCATTTTGCAATACATTCTGCTGCATACTGCATCTGAACATATTAGGGTAAATGTATGTATATAGGCATCCCCCCTCTCCTTCCCGAGAGAGTCTCAAATGAGCCAGATATTCAGCTGATGTAAATCAGTGTTGTTCCAGATACTTTTAGACATGATATACTGCATTAAATCAGCAGTCAGCCTTCTACAACTGACTCCATCACTATGCCTGGTTGAAGCTGCAATTAAAGTCTGTGTTGCTCAGGAGTCAGTACCCAGCAGGCTCAGAGGATTAATTAGGTCTGATATTTATTTCTTTTGATACGAAACCCAGATGTGTGCAGTTAAGCCAAAAACCATAGGGAGAGCCATCCTGCTTTTTTTTCCAATGGACAGAGGAAAAGCAGTGTTGCCCACCCAGAATTAAAGAACAGAAGCAAATAATTATCATCATGGAACAATTTGGCGGCGACGTGGTTTCATAATCTGCTAAGCCACTTTACCTGCCTGATTATGAAATAATTCAGATGACCTCAACTTTTTTTTCTTACCAACTATTGTAAATATATATACACACACACTTGTGTTGATTTATTTGTCTGAAAGCTGGGAAGAAAAATACAGAGGGAATACTCTTGCCCTCTATGGTTATAGAAATAAATCAGTTTGCATTTTGTTTTAAGTATATGTTCTTCAATGTGTTATAAAAATAAGTGTCCATTCAGTAAAGGGTTTATTTTAAAATTAATTTAAAAATAAATAAATAAATAAATAAATTTTTAAATCTGGAAAACAGATAATGAAAACACTTCAAATCATGAGCAAGTGTAGTATCACCTTTTGTTCCCACAATGGACATGACATCTCCAGCAGGAAAATGTAGTTCAGGTTTTATCCTTAGAAAGATGTAGGATTCAGGGAATTTTAGATGCTGAGCTTTGTGCTGTGGGCACCCCTCTGGCAATCCTGTCTCAATTCACTAAATTGGGCCAGCATCAGGTAAATTCTCATGAACCATGAAACTGCTTCATATGATATCAATTTGTGCAACATTTCTTATTTAGCCTTTTCTTCCAGTAGGAAAAATGATTCACTCCCATAGATCCAATTCAGATTTTTTTCATTATAAAAAGAAAAGCAGAAATAAAGATGGTTTCCAACCTTCAGGTGAAAGTTGACTTTTTTTAGATACAAGCCCATGCCTCCACTTCTTTTACAGTGACAAAATGTAAGAAGTAAAACTACAGGAGCAGAGATCACCCAAAACAAATACTAAAAAGAAATATGCAAATATCAGACCATTATGAATTTTTCCCCTTATTCCACTTGAAAGAAAGCTCTAAACATTATCAAAATAACATATAAAAATTCTTTTTTTTTTTTCCTCCTAATAACTCCTATTAGTCCTTTCTTGTTGTGTACCTGTGTATTGATTTAGAGTAATGAGTCTCCCATTGATTTCATGGAGTTTTGGTTGAAATCCCTAGAACAGATTTAAGCCAGTGATCTAATGATAGAAGACTGGAAAGCCCATTCCTTTTCCCTGATGCAGCTAGCCAGTATATTATACTGGAGATATGCAACATTTTTCCCCTCTGAATAATACTTACAGAACTTTGTAAAGACTAGTTTTTTCTCTCTTTCTCACTGATTTCATCACTGTATTTTACAGCATCTTCATATTTTCAGTTTACAAGGGGAAAAATGGACTAGAAAACAGTCAATCTACTTTTTTTGTTGTTGTTGGCTGTTTCTGATATATGTTTTTTGGGTAGGCTGTCACAAGCAAGCTTTTGCATAGTTTCCTGGAGCGTTTTCTCATTTCTTTGCAGCTCATTAAGCTCCACATTTTTTTTGTTCTTTTTTTTTTGTGGGGGGGGGGACTTTATCAGCCCATCTATGGGGCATCTCACAGGTCTCTGCAGTTCCAAATGTCAGCTGAAAAACAAGCACTCTCTTTTTAGTGGTTGATGCAAGATACATCAGGACTCAGGCAAAAGACAAAGAAAAAAGAAAACCCATTCTACTTGGAGTTACGAGCAACTGCTACTGGTAGGTGTTCTAGTCCTCCCCTTACAGGTTCTGGAGAACATCAACCAAACTGACCTTAGAGAAGGGGTACGACGTCCCTCTCTGCTCTCCCCAGGTCTCTGCTATGCTTAATACTGTCAGAAAAGTCTCCAGCAAACATTTGTAATTGCAGGGAGAAAGAACACTGCTGTCTTTATTTTTTTTAACTTGACATCTATCAAATTTAGTTTAAGTGTTCCCCTGGGTCAGTCGAGTTGCTGAGCTATAAACTAAAAATAATTAAAATAAAATATTAAAAAACCTCAAGTCTGCTTGCCAAGAGCATATCATTGGGAGTTAACAGCTCTCAATCACGTATTTCAGAGTGCTAGAATAGCTGAAATAAGACAGGCAGGCTTAATACATCATAAAACTGTAATTCTTTGATGTTTTGATGCTACACGCTTCATTTTTGCACTTCAGGACAAAAACGATTTCTGTGACAGGCATTCAAAAACTAGATTTTTTTTTTGCTGTAATACTACAGGTAATATAAATTTTATAGGACTAGCTTAATGAAAAGAAAAGGCAGAGGAAAGTAGAAGGAGTCCTTCTGATTAATATCTCAGATAATTAAAACCTTGTCCTGACAATTCCTATAAGGCAGAAAGTTACCTTTTCATACTATAAAAGATGACTGCCAATTTATTGACCCCAGCTGATGTATCAGCTCTCACCAGAATTGGAAATTCTAGTTACAATGACTTAAATTTTGGCTTAAGCCCGATCAGACAGACAGCATATTCCCAGACTGGTCACATTCATAAATGTCATAAAAAACATATTTGCTCTATGACATGCACAAAATAAAGTTCTTGAACAAGATATCTCTAACCAGAAAGGCATGAAGCAAAAATCTTTAACCACGTGAGAGGGAATGAGGACTGCTAAGAATGGTATTTTGACATTGGTGGACTGAAGTAAAGCTTCTGCAGGCATAGCTTTAACATTGTTTTTATTATTTTTATTAGTCTTATAGGTCATAAAAACCATGTGAGGTAAGATGAAGAAAAAATCAGTCAAAACATGGTTCAGAACTTTTGTGTAAGCTGTTCCAGTGTAAATTTAAAGAGAAAGAGTTAAGTCAAGATCACATTCAGGGGGATCTGAGTAGAATCAGTCATCAAGAAGTTCATAATGTGCAACTGAAGAATCAACCTGGGTTGTCTAACCAAGTCCGTCAGAACCTAATGCTTTTGCTTTTCAATATGTATCTTCTTCACTTTATACATTTATTATTATGCTTAGTGAAAAAATAGATGTTTGTCAATCCTTTCTGGAAAATGACATTTTTTACAAGAAGTTGGCATTGCCAATATTTATATTTTTCTTCTTAAAATTTTGTAGTGACTTTGTATTTTTGCAAACCCTGTTAAATACAGCAAGATTCTCTATGTGAAGATCATAGAGCCATAAAGTTGAGAGGATTGCCCGCACTTAATCTTCAAAAATAAAAAATTAATCTTTTCCTATAAAATAAGAATAATTTTAATTTTTTAAATGGAGCATCGCAACTAGCTTTAAATCAAAATGAGACACAATATCATTACCCTGCTCTTGTCAAAATTGCTGAATACTACCCTCCCCAGCTTTAAATGGAGACTGTATCTCACCTCCAAAATGATTGCTCTCCTCTGATACAAACTCCCTCACCGTACTGTGAGGCCAAGCTGCCTTGCAGAGGAGATGCCCTGGAGCCAAGGGAGCTATGCCCTGGGATGGGTAGCTAGCCGAGGATTTGGAAATTAAATGTGCTCCAGTGTACAGACTAAAGATGGTTGGGAATTTTCCAAGGTACTTATTTGGCGGGATGTCACAGAATGGCAATTTGCTGAAACTGAAACCATTCACAAGGGAAAGTCTGTCTGAACAAAGCTTCCAACTCAGAGTGAAAAGCAAAAACAGAGAAGCAAGTAAGAAAAAGAGAAGGAGGGGGGTAGAGAGCAGTTAGCAAAACTGCCCCTTTCCGCTGTTCCTAGAGGTAAAAGTTCAGGGGTCTAGCTTGACGTGATTTTTGCCTTTCTCCTTATAAATTGCAATTTATGCAGAAATTAATTTTTATTAAAAAATTACAAAGTCAAAGCGGAATAGAACAACACAAATTTGATCAGTCTGATCTCTTGAAATGAACCATTCTTGGACTTTCAGGTTTTTTTTTATTTTTCACCCATTTTTGAAGGCTGCTTTATACTTATTGACAATAACAGCTATAACACTGTGTAAAATCTAATTGATCAAAAATATCTGATTCAGGCACTAGTACATGATTAAGCAACTAGTACCTGTAGGAAATTTTCTGTCAAGCCTATTCTTCACTGGGAAATCACTCCCTTTTATTATACACTATTTCAGAAAAGCTACCTGCTGTTTGTGTT